TACTGTTCCTTCGAGCGATATTATTCCGTCTGATTGGCGTTGCGAGACATTTGGTGCCGTGTCTCAGTGGTTGATCCAGCGAGGCTGTCGTGAAGGCATCCTTGTGCAAGGGCTCTGTTAATCTACCAACCTACCTAGGCAACTAACTTGCTGGCCAATGAATACGTCGGGCGGATGAAACATTTACCGCGTTACCCCCGAGCACCAGATACTGATGACTGAGGATGCTAATGTACGTGTAAAATATCTAATGTAGGTGCTAATGCAAATGCCATCTCCGATGACTGGTTCGAGACGGGGCCCAAGCAGTTCCAATGGCAAATCGATCGTGTTGGAACAAGCAGCCCGGCGGTGGTCGCGTAACACGGCATAACCTAGACCTGCAAAGGATAGCCGAGATCTAGCCGTTACATCAAGTCGAGATGAAGAGACGCGGGCACTTTACGACAAGCCGCGAGTTTTTGGGCTGTGGTTAGAAACGACCTTGAAGTTGGAGTCGGGGCATACTATCGTCCTTGTCTGGTGAACGAACCTTGGCTGTGAAAAAGCACATATACTGGAAGTAAGTTGTTCGGGATGATACTACCTGAGTACCTAATCGCCCTGTAAGATTAAAAGATATGGAAAGCACTGATGCTCAGCCTCGCAACTGGCTGTTTATACGAGTGCAAATGTTCGGTGTGCATTATTCAATATCAGGTAGCTGCGATTGGCACACAGGTTCGTCTTGGGCAGGAACAACAGGCAGGCACCCACGCAGCCAGCCTACCAGCCAAGCCTCCGGCGCTCTTGCCACCGGCATCTCTGGCCTCCTAGGTACCTACTAGAGGTACTACCTACCTGTAGGTAGCGGTCAGCTGCTAATCTATTGCTCGCTCTTACTCCAATCTATTGACACTCGTGCATCAGTACATCTGAGGTACCCGGGCAGAACCACTTCGCGCTGCCATTTTCCAGCGCCAGACAAGGACCAATGCAAGTAATACCTGCGTAAAGTGCCAACATTGGTCCCGGTCTCCCCCCTTCCCCCTCGGCACTCGTATCAATCTTTCGGATTCTAGGGCTGTCCATGTCCATGTAAGGGAAGCAAAAGACTTGCCAGGTCATCACGCCTCCAGCCGAGACTCGGAGACCCGCCTTGCGTCCATCCGGTACCCCGCCATCAGGTACCCCATCGCATGAGTTTATACGGCCGCCGATACCTGGTTGCGTTGTAGTGCTTTTTGCGTGGTTGGACTCTTCTGAGAGGTTCAGGTTGGTACTGGTAAAGGCCACTGCAGTAAGCACCTTAGTACTGGTGCTGTGCTATGCCTACCTTAGTACTTGGATGTGGAAAATGGAAGAAGAAAAAAAGGGAAAAAAAGGGAAAAAAAGAAATGCCACCGCCCAGCAGCTTTACCTGAGACTAGTAGGTGCGGTAGTCTTCTTTTCCTTTCTTTTTCTGCTGCCTGTCTCATCTGTCTGAGACAAAACAACCTCAGCCGCAGCGGCAAGGAATATAATAGAATAGAGTAATCTAAACACTCCCCCCATTATCATGACGACGATGGCAATATTCAGCCCCAATATTAGTCTACTAAGGTATGTAAGGGGTACGGGCCTCCTTGCGTGCACTTACTAGATCGAGGACTCTTCCCCCCCGCCGTGGTCCGCATCGCGCCATGCCATGCCAAATTCCAAATAGAATCTAATGCCATATTACGATAATCTGGTGCGTCGCTGGCTGGTTATATAAGGCAAGGTAGGGCCAGGTCAGGTATCCAAGTACACAGGTACATGCACGTTCGGCCATATATCCGTCCATCTATACGCATGCATATATATCGCCTGCCGAGAAGCATCTAGGCCCGATTCCTCTTCCTCTCAGTACTCCATATACTCGTACACCCACGCTACGCAGACCCGTACATACCCCAGCCTTGCTCTGACCGGGAACCAATATATTGAAAAATAGAAAAAAGAAAAGAAAAGAAAAAGAAACGAAAGGCCGGTGCGTTGCCCTCTTCCCGGGTGCTCTCGATTTCTATTTCTCTCGCACATCCGCCCCTCCTCCTCCCCCCATCTGTTCCCATCACGCAATACTAACCTCGGCTTCTTTCATATCTTGTTAGCCTCTCGATCACTTCCGAAAACACGTACATCTCCATACCCTCCAAATCAACAATCACAATGTCTGTCCTCGAGGTTGGCGATTCTTTCCCGGGCAACGTGTCCTTTGGCTACGTCCCCTTCACCCCCGAGACCAAGGACATCACCAGCTGCGGCATCCCCATCAAGTTTGATGCCAGCACCGGTAAGGCACCTCTCGATTCCCGCCCAACTTGCCTACCCTTATTTTTTAATTCCGATGCCGTACTGATTATTATTATTATTATTATTTTTTCCTCTTATACAGAATTCAAGAACAAGAAGGTTGTCATCGTCGCCGTCCCCGGCGCCTTCACACCCACATGCCAGGCCAACCACCTGCCCGGCTTCATCCAGAACATCGACGCCCTCAAGGCCAAGGGCGTTGAGCAGGTCGTCGTGATTGCCTCCAACGACCCCTTTGTCATGTCCGCCTGGGGTAAGGCCAACTACACCAAGGACGACTTCATCGTGAGTTTTTTTTTTTAATCCCCTTTTCAAAACCCCCCGCTTTCCCTCTCTTCTTTTACATTCTTCCCTCTTCGTTTACCCCTCCTCCCCTCCTACATAACCCGTCGCCCCTGGGGGGGTCGGTGGGACAACATTAGCTAATCGGACAAAAAAATTCACAAAAAGATCTTCGCTTCGGATTCCGAGCTTGCTTTCAGCAAGGCTATTGGCTGGACCATGGGCGACCGAACTGCCCGATATGCCATCGCCGTTGACCACGGCAAGGTGATTTACGCCGCCAAGGAGACGGAGCGCGGCGTCGACGTCTCTGGAGCTGATGCTGTCCTGGCCAAGCTGTAAAAAAAGGGGGGGGGAGGGGGGGACTTTCTTTTCTCTCGCTCGGCTTGCTGGCTGTAGACTTTTCACGCAAAGGGAAATAAAAAGGCACTTCGGAGAAGAGGTGTTTTGTTTTGGGATTTTGGCATCAATGCTAGATAGCGCCACAGAATAAATGATAATTCACACATGGGATGCTTGGGAATCACTCAAGGTTCATGAATGACTATTGTGAGATATTGTGTCGGATGGAAAAAGAAGCATGGCATAGAGTAGAATGAGATCATGGATCAGCCAGCATCACAGGGAAAGATTTAAAGCAGCAAATCACAGAGTTGACCCCTTCAAAAGGTACAAGACTCGGGCACGACATTTGATTTGACGGCTTTTGTTTTCGCAGCAACAGTTCCCATTTATGTAAACCATTGCACCGGTATGTCATTTGCTCAACTGCCAATGCACCCTATGGCATTTCCATGCACCCGATATTGTAGAAGAACCGGCCGGAAAGAGACAAGAACCACAGACTCCATACTTTGTTTCATTTTGCTCATCCGCTGCGTTGCACTGCACACAACATCTTTCTCCCCTCTGCTCACCCCTCAATCCCGTCTATTCATGTTTTAGCGGGTTCGGGCGGCGACCTTAACCTGAGCACCCTTGGCACCCTGCTTGCTGACATTTGCCTTGGCCTGGCCCTTGGAGGCGATGGCGGCGTTCTTGGCCTTCTCGGCCTTCTTGACGGCCTGAACAGCAGCCTTCTTCTCCTTGTCCTGTCGGATGGCCTCGGCGCGGGCGGCAGATCGGGCCTCGGGGCGCATGGACCGGCGCTCCTTGATGACATCGAGGGAAGCACCAACGATGGCACGCTGGGACTTGACGGCACGGCGAGTGCGCTTCTTGGCAACCTCCTGCATAGGGTGTCAGCGATTCTACTTGCTTTTACCGGCTCTTTTCCCAACCGTGATGATATATTTAAGTAAGAGATGGAGGTTAGAAAGGATGTAGATGTAGATGCAGACATGGACAAGCCAATGCCAGCAGCACCTGTCCTTCCTTTTCCTCTCTTCCCTTCTATCCATCATCGCGGCGGGGGGGGGATTCGGTCTCCATCAATCGTCGTTGCGTACCTCAGAGATACCCTTGCGGTGCTGTCGTCGGTACAGAACCGTCCAGGCAATGCGACGGGGGTTCTTTCGCTGCAGGAACAGTGACTCCGACTTGCCGTTGACGAATCGGAACACCTTGCTGTCGCCACGGACATAGATCTTACCCTGTGAGAAGAAAAGTACAGTTAGCATCCATATCGTCGACAGTGACGTTTGCTTCCGAGTTCCTCCAAAATGCGAGCAAGACTTTTGGTTTGGCCTGGCTCTTTGTGGTGTTTGACGTCCCCAATTCACGGCTGACATCCTGTCCATCTCCTCCCTATAGCCCCTCGTGCTTCCCCGATCCCATGCCCGATCCCATCTCTTCCTGTCGAAATCGTCCCTTGAAACCCCGTCCCATGACATGACGTCGCATATCCCGAAATCAAAACTCAAGGGGGGAAAGCATGAGAATGGCAGCGTACCTTTCCAGGGTAGATCCTCTGGCCGGAGAAGCTGTCTTCGTAGGTACGCATCTTGCCGCGTTGTGTGGGTTATTGGCGACAAGGTGTATTTGGTTGGGGGACCCGTGAGTTTGGCGTTGACAAAAAGATGAGCAGCCCGTTCCGTGGATAGGTTCAATTTCACGAATTGGTCGCTGTGTGGTCGAAATGACTAAGCCGGGCCTAGGGCAGGCGTTTGTGCGCGCCAAAATCTCGGCAGTGGGCTGAGTGGGCTGCGCACGTGATTTTTCACCTGGTGCTTGATCTGGGTTTTGGTGGGGGGGAGTCTTCGGCTTTATTAGCAAATTGCCTGTTTCGGCGGTTGGATTTGCTCTCAGTTGAATTGTCCATGCTTCCAGCTTAGACTGCGGACTTGTAACTATTCGCAACGTACCTACGAGCATTTGGTGCTATTTCCACAATCATGAATTTATAGTCATCATCATCATCATCATCATCATCATCACCAGTGGGCACAATCATTCAGGGTACCTAAATGACGTCTCGAGCCAATCTCATCGCCCGCACCGTCATAAGCCAGTTCGAGAAGCTCCCCTCCAAAAGGAAGCCTTGCGTTCGCGACAATGGCCTCCACGAATGGGTGCCCCTGAGCGGCATCGTCGCCGAAAAGGACGGAATCTTGACTTGCCTGGCATTAGCGTAAGCTTTCAATTCAAATCCTCTAATGAGCTGTACGCTTGTTTGTATTGTCACGTGTGTTTTCTAAACCGGCGAAAGCACAGGACTGGCATGAAGTGTCTTCCGGCATCGAAGCTGGGCGACGCAAAGGGCGTGGCTATCCATGACTGGCATGCTGAGATCTTGGCCATTCGAACGTTCAACCGATATCTGCTGGATGAATGTCAGAGCCTCGTTGATGGTAGTCGTCGTGATGACCATCGAGCTATTCTCCAGCAGAGTGACGCTTTTGATATCGAAACGGAAAGTGATCGGTACACAAGACCCTTTGGAGTAAAACCTGGTATGAAACTTCACATGTACTGCTCTGAAGCACCATGTAAGTCTAGTTTCATTCAGGATTTTATTTTATTTTATTTTATTTTTTTAAGAAAAAAAAAGCCATATTGCTTATTGTAGTCTGCCGAATCTAGGTGGAGATGCCAGCATGGAACTCATCATGGCCGCTCAAGAAGACGCATCGCCATGGGAGCTTCCCACTTCCTCTCCCTCTCCAGCCAGCGCGCAACCTGCCATCTCAGAGTCCGAATCAACTCTTCCAGGACGTGCTTACTTCTCTCAGCTGGGAATCGTTCGCCGCAAGCCTGCCCGCGGAGACGCTCCACCGACGCTGTCGAAATCCTGCTCAGACAAGATAGCTTTGAAGCAGTGTACTTCGCTGCTCTCATCTTTGGCATCGTTACTTGTGAATCCCGCCAACGCTTACATAGATACGCTTGTTCTGCCAGAGTCACAATACTCTGCAGCAGCCTGTGAGAGAGCCTTTTCCGCCGCGGGTAGGATGAAGCCCGTGGCAGGCAAGCAGTGGGCTGAGGGATACGAATTCAGACCATTCAACGTCGAGGCAACGACTGTAGAGTTTGAGTTTTCGAAAAGAGCGGTCCAGGCTCGCTCCGGGGTCCTCTCGGCAAGCAACCTTGCTGCTACGTGGTCAGCCTCGGGCTTTGAGGAGACCATTCTCGGGGGCATGCTTCAGGGGAGGAAGCAGTTTGACATTAGAGGTGCCAGCAAGACCTCTAGGAGACAGATGTGGATCAAATCAAAGGAGCTTTCTGATCAACTCTCCACTTCTAATGCCGGACATCATGGGGGGCTTCAGGAGCATTTCGCATCTGCCAGTAGTTACCAGGACATCAAGGACGGGCCGTTGTTAGCTGAGCGGAGGCAGGTCAAAACCCAAGTTCGGCAACTCGCTCTCAAGGGCTGGATTCAGAACGAAGGAGACTCGGGATTTGGGATATAGGCTCTATAGTTTGCGGACAGAAGCTTTCATATCTCTTGGGCAACAATGCAGACAATGTTTTTTTTACATCATTTGAGATTTGGTCAATTTTTTTTCCCCTTCTGTTCCCAGGCAATTCGCGTCTTTGTACATACCCGCCTCCTTCATCTTTCCTGCGTTCCGTCACCACAGTTGACGTTGCCGCATTTGCTTTTTCCCACGCCAGGCAAATCCTCAAATATGCACATACCGGCTGGGTGTAAGCGTTACCCGTAATCGTAAAAAAGAGAAAAAAAGCAATCATTGGCAACTTGCAGAATTTCTGCCGAAGGGGGAAGAGAGTGTCCATTATTATCCTCTCCATCCCGACGCAGTCTCTCAGCTCGTGAAAAACCAATTCTTGTCGTCCCGCCGCTCGGAAGCGCAACGACAACTAAAAAAAAAACCCAGACATGCCCCCGCCAAAGAAATTCCTTTCAGCTCCTTTTGTATCCGTTTACAAAATACATGCCTTTGATTTTTTTTTTCAGATTCAATTGAGAATCTTTACTCGACCTTGCTCTCGAAGTTCTCGCCCTCGACCAGGTCGGGGATCTCGTCGTCATCCTCGCCCTTCTCAGCCTTCTGCATGTTCTGGTAGCTCTCGGCGAGCTTGCGGAGAGAGGCCAGGGAGTCGGGGCCGAGCTGGTTCAGGATACCGGGGACAAGCTCGGTGAGCTCCTTGTCCTCGCCGTTGCCGTAGATGGCGAAGGTGTTGGACTGGACGGCGGCGTGAACTGCGGAAAAAAAAACAATTTCATGTCAGTATCTCTCGTTGTGTGATTGCTTCATTTGTGATTTTGTGCTTCAGCCGAGGCTGTTGTTGGTTGGATCGTGGGCAGGGCAGGCAGGCATACCCTTGGGAGCGGCGAAGTGGATGACGTTGCCGTCAGACTTGAACATGTTGACCTCCTCGATGGCCTGGATGGGCTGGGTGTTGAGCTTCTTCAGGTTGGCCTGGAGCTTCTTGTCATCGTTGTTGGAACGAGCGGGCGCACGCTTGACCGGTCTTCGGGGGGTTCCCTTTCCACTGCACAGCACAAATCGTCAGTTTGAGACCTTGATTTCGAAAGCTTTCGGGCGGGGCTGGTGTCGGATTGTTGTGGGAAATTTTCCAAAAAAAAGGTGGCATGATTTTGTCACGGCGAAACAACGTACCCTACGGAGACAAGAGTGTTAGATGACAAATTCAAACATGATGGCAACAGCAGACGAGTCCGCCATCGACCGCGAAAATAACATGGCCAGCAAAAGACGTACCAATTCGGCCGGCCTGGCCAAGCTTCTTGAGGCGCTCCTGGACGTCGGACATGATGTGTGCGTGTGTGTGCGAGAGGCGACTAGGGGTGGGAAATGCGGGGGGGTTGAAGTTGGAGAGCTAGATTTCGCCTGGATGTCAGTTCTGGATTGCTTCGTCGCGCGCATTGGTTTGATAAAACATTCAGCATCGGGGCGAGAAGAGAGATGAGACGTCTCTTGCCAACAGCAAAACGGAGCCGTGTGTGCAACGTACCGAGGAGTTTCGAGGGTGATGGCGTCCAGAGGGAACTTGTTCTTTTCGTCGCCGTCGGCTTTCGTCTATTATGAGCGATGATTCAAACCGCAAGAGTAGGTTTTGTGCGTGCCAAGACTTTTTTCTCGCACGGCGGATTTTCTATTTCGCCGAGGCGCTGTCGCATGATGCCCTCATTCTGCGTGCGGCCTTGCATCAGCGCTGCTAAACCCGTCAAAGTTTCCCCCCGCCAGCCCTGACGAGCAGCAGCGCACGCATGTACCCGTACAGCAGTTTGGGAGTTGTAGCGTCTTTGCGTCTTAGTATAGAGAGGAGAGCAAATCATTGATTAGAATTCCATTCTGGATTTAAATTTTAATGACTTTTCATCGTCTACCTCTTTGCTGTAGGTATTTTATGGAGCCGAGACCCAACAGCTCCTACTACTAATCGCCGACTGCCAGCTGTTATAAGTGGAATTTGGACAAGAGTCTCCCTCTTCGAGCTGACGAGTTCAATATGTTTCTTACAAGTATAATAACACTCGAGCAAGTATTATTCATCTTAGGTTCATCTTCAGTTCTTCTTTGGTAACATCGGTTCACTTGATGTAAACAAAATATCAGCTTCACATCGTTCCGATTACCAATTTATACAGCTCGCAAGTGATTCCCGCATAGGAAGTCACTCATACCAAGTTCATCAAAAGATTGGGTATATTCAGATGCAACACATCCATATAGACATGCCGCAGCAATTATCTCGATAAAAGGAGAGCGTTTCATCATCTCATAACATAAATTTTCCCCATTTCATACAACAATAAACACCCCCCATTGCACACACACTCGGCAAACACCTCCTTCCCCTTACCACTTCGTCGGTCCAATACCGGGGCCCGAAGTTGGCGCAACCCGCAGAATGGCAGCGCCATTGGCATCCAGGTTGTTGTTGATGACGGTGTTTCCCCACCAGTCAGGGAAGCTGGCGTTGCCGAGACCCAGGCCAAGGCCGATGAGGACAGTGCAGATGGCAGTACCAATATCCAGAGCACCGGACAAGACGTAGTTGTATTGAGCTGTAAAGGCAAGCATGGTTAGTCAAACTGTTTGAAACAAGAAAGGGATGTTTGTATATAGAAAAAAGACTTACTCCACCAGCCGAGCCAGCGTCGTCGGATGTACCAGTTGAAGATGAGACCAACAATGCACCACTGGGCGAGGTACCAGGTAGTCGCGGGCGGGATCATTCCAGCAGCTCCGAAGAGGGCAGGGAAGACAACGTAACGGGCCATTGAGCGAGGGTAGCGGCGGGCAATGATCCACTGGATGAGGGGGCAGGCGAAGCCAATCAGCCAGAACCAGTTGATCCAAGAGTACAATTGACCGGCACCAAAGACCAGCTTGGGGCCAATGACACCCCAGATGACACTGGCATTGTAGAATGTGCGAGCGTTGGGGCAAGTAAGACCCTGTGCCTGCTCGGGGGTGCAAATACCCTCAATGTTACCACGGAGGAAGTTGTAGGCAGCAATCTGCACAATGGAAAGCCAGATGACAGCAAATGCCTGAGCGCCAAACATGCTGCGGGGAGGAATCTTCATGTAGTGACCGACTTTCATGTCAGACACATATGTGAGGCCGTTGTAGGTCATCATGTAACCCCAAGACTTGAACAGCATCATGGCAACGGGGCGGCCGGGAAGCATGTAGCCGAAAATCATCTCGGTAACAATGTTCAGACCAGTCTGCTGGTTGGTGATGGCCTGAACCATGCCGACGGGGATGAAGAAGAAGAGACCAATGAGGATACAGATAATGAAAGCCCAAGCGGGAAGATGCGTTGGCCAGGCCAACGATGCAGCCATCCCGAGTCCAAATGACACGAGAAAGATACTTAGGAACCACCATTCTGGGGCTTCCTTGTACTTCCGCATGAGCTTCATGTGAATATCCGGCTCCTCAGAGCGAGAGTCGATCGATCGGCGCCAGACGTCGGGGCCGTAGAAGAGGACAATGTGGGTGATTGTCGAGATAAGACCAGCAAATCCCATGCCGTACGACAGAGAGAAGGCGGGTCCCAGCAGGATAGGAGAGTACTCCCTGTAGGCGGTCAGGTTGACCGTAAAGTCAGGGTTGAGGATACGGCTCGTGTTGTAAGGCTGAGCGTAGTGGTCAAAGTTCTGGTTGGCGCTAAGGGGAAGGTAGCGGTAGAACTCGGGGCCAGCGTAGGCAAGACCAATGATTCCGAGAAGCATGACGAAGATGCCGGCGGAAACGTTGGCAATGGCAAAGGCCGGGGTCTGGAGAGGAGAGAGCAGGAAACCAGAGATGATGGACCAGTCGAAAGAGATGGGCAGGAGACCCAATCCAGTGTTTCCACCAAAGATCTGGTTAACAACGACGTTGTTGGGGGCGATCCAGCAGGGGAACATGAAGAGCTGGAGGAACTGGGCAATAACTTGGGGAACCCACTCCCAGCAGAAAGTACCAGCCGCGACGATGAGGAAGAAGCTGTATCGGCCAATCTTCCAGCCATTGGTCATGGCCGGGTCGGCGGGCGAGTGGTCGTGCAGCGAGTACATGACGGTGGTGGTGATGAGCACAGCGGGCCAGACCATGGAGGAAGGCCAGACGAGGTATCGTCGAGCAACACCGGCAACACCGAAACCCATGGCTTGAGTGGAGAGGATGAGAAGGATCTGGAAGCCCCAGCCCAGGTGCTGTTGGTAAAAGATCTCCTGAGCCAGCAAGATGTCGATAGCGTAGGAAGCAGCAGTTCCGGCAGCCGTCATCATGGTGATGATGGTGTGCTCCTTGACGTTGAAAGGACCAGGGTTGAGCTCGAAAGCGTGTCCGAAGAGGGTGAATGTGTAGTTGGGCACAACACGGGCCCAGAAGCAACCGATGCTGCAGTACAATATTAGTTGTTTTGTTTATACTTTCAATCATGTCCGGAACGAGCAACTTACGGGTAAGAAACCAACTGCACGACAGTGGAGGTAATGGTGATGGGAGCCCGGCGAAGTGTGAGCAAGATGTTGCAGGCGGCAACGATAGTGCACATGATAGCACCAATGACCCAGGCACGGATAGTGTCGACGGGAACCTCAGTATCCGTAGGCGGCACCTGAATTCAACCCATGTTAGACAACACAAACCTGAAGACTGAATATCGGTATTCTCAGAAGAGCATGTTAACAACTTACCGAAGCGCGGACTTCGGGATAAGGAGAGTCCTCCTGAATCAAGGACTCATCAATGGCCGCCTCCTTCTCGGCATTGCCCGAAGCCAAAGCCTCGTCAATGTTGTCGAGCTTGTCAATGTCGAGGAAGGGATCCCATCGATGCTGCTTCCTGAAGTTTCGGAGCTCAGACTCGACATTCTCACCGCCAGGGAGAACGTCGACGCCCGAGGACACGGCCTCGGTCTCGACGCGGGCGTCGCTCTTGCCAAATCGAAAGCCCATCTTGGATGGTATCCGTGCTGCCACTGCAGTCAAGAGTGGTGAAAGATTACGCAGCCGAGTGCGAGAGAATAGCAGATGGGCTTATCTGGAGAAGAAGAGAGGAAAGGAAAAGAGGCCTTGGACAACGAGGGGGAGACGCGGCATGTTTATAGTAGTACCGTAGCACGCTGGCCATGATCGCCTCCAAGGTCTGCACTGCACAGCACAGCACAGCATCTGCAGCACTGCAACATGGCAACGCCACTGTCCGTGTGCGTGCTGGGATCCATGATGGTGCTATCTGGTTGCGGAGGGGCGGCGGTTGGTCGGTTGAGCCGATTCACATTAGCACGGGCCAGGCTTGTGATACTGTCTGCGCCCCCTTGCTGTACGAGTCCGTAGTAACAATTGCATCTTCCTACTTTGTGCTCTCACTTCTCACCAGTTTTCCCCGATCTGCAGCCCGTCATCAGAGGTGGTCTCTGCTCTGCAACTCTGCAGGGACCCTTTGCAACGACGATGCGCCTGACAAGATGGTGGCGGCCTATCTCTTGGACTAGGGCCACGGGGGCTAGTCTGGGCTCGGACTAGAAGGCCATGATAGAGTCTGGAGAATTGGGGCGGCAAGTCTTGGCTACGCAAGGGTAGAGGGCAGAGATTGCTGGGAAACCCCCCCCCCCCCCCCTGGCCAGACCAGACCAGAACCGGGGCCTCTTCTCTTCCGTCTTGTCTGTGAAGGGGTGTTAGTGCCGGGTTAGCCTTGGGCCAGACACCATCCAGAGTCAGTAGTACTAAGACCATCGGCCACTCACTGCCAAGACCAGCTCTCTCCAAAAGGTCCCTTTGCTTCCTGAGCCCATGTGGCGATTGTCCCCCTCCCTTGGAGCAGAAAATCTCCCGAGCTCTGTGATAGGCCCTCGACCTGGACCTGGACAATGTGTGCCCACCTGCCTGAAGCGGTCCTGCTCTCCCGAGGACGGAAAAACGCCCACAAACCGCGCCATGCGACCGGGGGGTCTTGCATACCAATTGCGCCGTACGGCATGGTCGAGGATGGTGTCCGTCGCTCTTGGTTGGTGGCCATTGGCCGATCCGAGTGCCAGCCCAGCCTGCTTTGTCAAAAGGCCCCCAGAAGGCCCCCAGAGGCCCTTTTGCTTTCGAGAGACGCAGACGCCGTTGCGCGCTACCTGCCCAAGTATGCCTCACCTTTGGTACCTTTGGTTCCTTTGGTTCCTCGGCTAGTGGATAAGCTCATCTTCCCTAGTGGCGAGCGGCGGTTTTCGTTTTTCTACTCGTATTAGTACTCCATGCTAGTCGTCTCTATGTATTACACGACTGCACAACCACATTCCAGCTGATCGGGAATCCCCGTGTGAGGCGGGCCTCGGGACCAAACATGGTAAAGCAGAGTGATAGATAGAGACAAGAGTGAGAGAGATGAAGCAGAAAAAGATTCCATGTTGGCCTGAGTGGCAATTTTACCCCAGGAACGGACCCAACAATCTGGGATTGGGTGGTCGAGTCTCGTCTTGCCAGGTCGTCCTCGTAAGTGTCCTCGTATGTATGTACATACGGCGCCTTATCATCGTATCCATGAGGCAATCCTCCCAAGTGAGCACAGAATCCCATCACCTGCAGCAAGGAATCGTTTGTGCAACCATAGCTGCGTAATTCTCGTAGCCAGGTCCCCATACCACCTCTACAGAGGTACAGCACCAGCCAACACCCGATGCTTGACTGGCACTGGCGACAGAAACATGGCGTGGGAACCCGATCGGCCGCATTAACGGTTCCGTGTATTTCTTATCAGCAGGCCAGTAAGTGCTTGAACACATTGCCGTATGTGGGAAAGCCATGGCTCCGCATTTGGCAACGGGATCCATGAGAGAAGAATGTAATTGGGCCGAGAGCCTTTTTTTTTCTCCCAGCCTCGATGATATCTTTGTTTTCCCTTTACAGAGAAACAACAAGGGGGGAAACCCCATCAGACTGTCCGCTCGCTCTGTTTCTCGAGGCTGTGTGTTCGTAACTCGCAGAGATAATACCGAAACAGAGCACAGGTCATGAAATCACAGCTTGTAAGCGTACTCCGTACATTGTCCTCCGTTTGTTTCGGCCGATACCGCTGGAGGAATGAGTAGGGCCAACACCGACAGTCCGTATCCATAACTGTAGCGGAAGGCCAAGAATCGATCCATGCTTACCCGATGCTTGGCATCTAACAAACAGCCCTTGGTAATAAGTAAGCCCAATAACCGCTCATGGCAGAGCCGGCGGAATCGTATCATCATCCAGGGCCTGAGAAAAGGCGCGCGATACAAAAGCAAATAGTCTCTTCTTTCGTCACTGATAGCAAGCATCGGGCGGGCGGCGATGCTCACCCTCCCTCTCCCCTCTCTCCTCGCCCAAAAGGTCCTCACCTCCGCATATTCTGGTGGTTGTCATAGTAGTATAGCCGTCGAATCAATTTTGCCGTTATCTCGACTGACGACATAGGTACTCTCGTACTCCCTCCCCCTCCCACCGACAGGCCGCTTTTTCGTCTTCGAGGCCAAGAGCGCGAACCAACAACACATTCCTGCTTCATCCTTGCCGCAGGATCTTTGGTTTAACAGGTGTCGGAAGAAGCATACTATGACACTCGTTTACCCTCTTTCCTGCTGCTACTGCCCTTCTGTCCGCATCATGTTGCATGTCCAAGTAGTATTTCGGATGCAAGGGCAATGTCTCGCAAAAAGTGCCCCCAGCGTCACCGAGCCGCCACTTTCTCACTTGGCTCCTGGGCAACGGCAGTGGCCTTTCGTGTGAACATGCTTTCGTCCAAATCCTCCGGCATCCAGCTGCCCCCGCATGGCCTGCATGAAGCGCGGGCTAGGCTAGGGCCGGGGTGGCTGCAACTAGACCAGGGCATAGACCCAACTCTGGCAACTGTTTTTAGTAGATGCACTTTTGCTCGGCCAGATTGCGCTACTAAGTCTGGAGCCCATGCCAGAAGCGAGCCTCGTCCCGGGTTATCGCGTGCAGCTTAATATAGCAGAGCTGACAAAATACCTAGTATCATGTACGAGTATGTGTGATAGACTTCTGCAGCCTCGCTTGGGTTGTTCCGTGAACCGGCTCGCGGAATGTCAAGACAGAAACCGCTCGAGTGATGCCATGCTCAGAGCAAAGACTAGCGATATGTCAGATAACAGCCGTACCCAAAACCAACATCTTGTTCTCTGCCGCAAGCTGTTACCCGCTCTCCTTGTCCGATGCAACCATCTTCCACATCTTCCATATCCATGCCCAATGAGCGGATGAGAGAGTAGTATTCCGTAGTATGGTGAGAACCATAAACACACAGTCGGGCCTCTGTCACACTGCTGGAGAGAGACGATACGCCTTCTCACCTAGCTCCTTGTGCTCCGTAACTCGTACGTTGCTTGCAAGAGTAACCATAAGCTCTGTTTGTGAGGGAAACCCCGAAATGACTCGTCTATTGCCACCCACTAGGGATCTTTCCAGGCCAAAGAATCCATTAATAGTCGTGAAGCTAGCAGCTCTGTATGCACAATAGCATCTCAGCTTTATTAGCAGCACGAGGTCCTTTTGTGTAACCTAGCTGACGCTTCTAGTTTGTAGTCGAGCGTAGTGGAGGCCCATTTCCAATCCGATATGACCTATTTTGCAGCCTCTCCGTAGTCTCTTGTTTCGGGTGGTGAGATGTTAAAACCCCTGTGGCTGGATGCTTTCTCCTCTCAAATCATAAAGCGTCTTGGTTCTGGTCTGGAGTGAGGTATTGTACTCGTACAGAGAGTGCCAAGTTTGGGACACAAGAGGCCCAGGCCCCCATGTCGATTTCCGTACGCAAATCGCCAAGTGATCTGGGGCATCCCTCTCAAGAAGTAAGCCAAGACGTGGCTGCTTATACCTTCCAAATACCTCTAGTTAATCCGAGACGTGCTGAAGCATATGTCGACTAATTTGCTTTAGGGCGTAGCCAAAAACATGCCCCTTTCGTACTGTAAGCAGCCTGGCCTATTAGGTTATAGGTGACCATCATTGGAGCTTGTGCGTGATGCTCTGAGAAGACAAATGATGGAAATACCGCCATGTACACCTTTCTCCTTGTCGTCATTGTGGTCTTTCCGGTCGAAATGACGCAAAAGGTGTAGGAGAGCTGAAGAGAAAAAAAAAGGTCCCAAGCAGTATGCATCACTGGCCATACATGAGCTTGCGACAGCGATGTTGGACATGCGTAGGGCGCGCAGCGCGCTGTGGTTTGACTGATTACCTCTACCAGCAACCCAGAGGTGGAGAGAGGACCCATCGCTGTACTGATACGAAGCAATGCGAGAGTTCAATACGGAGTAGAGCTGTTCTCTCTTCTGCTTTGAATCAATCGACCGGCACGTTCAACCGAGAATCTCTTCGTATAATCGTGATCATATACGAGGGCATCGAAGCAAGAGAAACCGGCTATAGAGAAGCTCGTTGGACCAGTGTTGGTGTACGAGTACAGCAGCTGGGCATCCTTCCCACAATCGTGCATGCTTTCTCGGAGAATGTGGCTAATCGGCAGGGCCAATGAAGAAGCGGTACCAGGACCGACTCCCAGAGATAGCTGAGAACCCGATGGCCCAAAACGAACGGACTTTTGCTGATGCCAAGAACGAACGCTGGCGCAAACTCAGCCACGGATATTCGGCCTGCCCGCTTCCTTGCCGCGGCACAATCAAACGTGTGCCACGAGTGAGTGTGGGATGGGATGGGAAGTGGTTCATCCGAAATCCAGATCTGCGGCTGTCCTTGTCGCGGTGGCTGTTCTTTCATTGTATCGTCCATTATCATATTGATCCTCGGATCAAGCTGCTTGCCCGCATCACCGAGCAATCTCTCTCGGGAATGAATTGTCAATACAAACATGATGGAACTGTCATGGTACAGAAGTAGCGGAGGAATTCGTCGCAATCATCCCTTGATACCATGAGATCAGACAAGCTGAAGAGGATGGTTATTTCAACCCTCCAGTCATTCATGTCACTCGAGGATCGCACGCGCTCGTGATGAACGATGACACCCTCTCAACACCACTCCAGAGATAGGCAATGCTGCAGACAGTGTTGAAATTGATTGCTGGGGGTTGCAGCCAACGACTTCAACCCATGCTAATCGGTAACGAGGGTGAAATCCGGTTCTCTGGACCGGTTCTATTTTGCCACCATCCCCATATTCGCCAGGGCCTAGAGTCCTGGTAGTATATTGTTTGTCGCCACGTGTGAATCCCAGCTCGGAATAACCCGATGAGATGCCTATCTCTTCCCGTGTGGCGGCAAGTCTTTTCTTGTTTTTATTCCTCAAACTGACGAGTAGCGTCCCGCGAATCCATGTCCTCTTATCGTATGAAGCAGCCTTGCCCCTCAGATTAAGCATGTCGGTTGCTTGCTCACTCTGGAAAACGGCAAAATCGACGGCAATCAACCGAATCTTACAGGCTCCTCCTTGTAATTTACACGGCAGTGGTGTGAACAACAGTGAGCTGGGATGTGTTGCATCCGAGCTTCGATTTGCCACAACTGACTCTCCTATTTCCCGAGCCCAGCTTCTCGCCGCATTTCGTCTCTCTGGGCTACAGCCTCCTGTTTTTGTAGCCTTGCGGCTTCCAGGTCTGCTTTCTTCTTCCTCTCTTCTTCTTCTTTAATGACGGCCCAAACTGGTTTTACTGCGTTAGTCTCGGTCTGCCCGGGATCAACAAGTGTCAAGGACTGGTTGATGGACCAACTTGGTTTATCCGATTTGGAATACTCCTTGAGCCGCGTGACAAACTGGTCAAACTCTTGCTGTCTCTCCTCTCTGCCCTCCAAGCTTCTCTTCAAGAGTTCGGGGTTGTACCTCGATCTCAGCTCTTCCTCGGTTGGTACCAGCCAGAATGTGAGCGCCGGTCCACCAACGCTGATGATTGTTCCGCTTTGGCGAAGAGATTATTATCAGCGTCTCGTCCACCTTGTGACCATTACGCAACAAGAGGAACCCTCAAGCCAAAGCGTGGGAATCTACTCACCCCACCAGGACCTTGATCCACAGCCCCCAGTTGAAGGATTTCTTAGGAGGCATCGTGCGTTTAATATGATTGGGATAAGTAGGGCAGAATGAAGAAATCAGCAAGGATCGCGATATGTGCCTCTTTTTCAATTCCTGGTACGGAAACTCATGCCTGAGGAAAGAGGCTCTCAAGCAGCCAGGCAAGCGTCATGGAATTTGATATTGCCATACTAGAGCTCCCCGGATAGGAAGGCGGTCAGTATAGAAATACTTATGTAATTGGGGTTACATTGGTGAGGCGCTGGCGAAATGCGGACTTGCGATGCAGCAGCTCGGCGATTGTAGACCAAGCTCAAGGTGTAGGTCATTATTTGACATAATCGCCGGTCGTTAATTAATCATGAATGGATGATGGGACGAGAACGACGCAATTTCCGTCTGAATTATTAACAGCTGATGACAGCGACTGGAAATCACGCAGTAACACCTGCTACCCTACAATTGGGAACCTATGCATGAAGAGAGTTCGGAAAGCAATAGCGTTTGGATTTCAGCAGGAAATTGCTTCTCGGTTGGAAGGCCATTTTCAAGTTTTCGTCCATGATATTTCGGGTGATTGAAAAAAATGTCGACATTTTGTGCGTAGCATTCGTGGTTGTTGCAAATTACCTTAGGTATTATATCTCGGGATGTCGAGATATCAAGTCTCCACAGTAGTAAAACTTCAGGTATTGTTTTGTTCTGTGCATATGGCTAGGAACAAAAGAAGAAAAGAAGAAGAGTATCTGAGAAATTGGTAACTGTGAATAAAAAAAAAACCGAAAACGACTCGGTTAATGGTACTCAAAGAAGTCTCAATAATACACGAGGAAGAAGAGAAGGGAGATATCGGCCAAACAGCTACACCAAAGCCATAGGCTGTATCTCACTCGGATGACATAGGATGACATCGGATGTTTCCCACGCCGACAAAATGGATGAATCTCTCCTCCATATCAGCTGGACCCATCAGAGATGGAGGAGCCAGAGGATGCAAAAAAAAAGAAACTGCGATCTGTGTGGCTTGAACACACGACCTTCAGATAATTGGATGATTGAAGTTGGGACTTCAGTCTGACGCTCTCCCAGCTGAGCTAAGACCGCCGAATGTGGATCGTCAGAGAGCCAATCGCCTCATATTGGAGTGGTGGAGAGGTACGCAGATGTACGCAGATGCTCGTTATCGATTCGAATTATGTAGCAAGAGTCACGAGGAATATGCGCTGGTCGAGAGATGAATGAAAACGATTGCAGGGAAAGGACAGAAAGCAAGGTGAAACTTGGGTAAATCAACCCGACGAGGCATCGTGTTTCAACAAGGTAGTAGCAAGTAGCAGGATTGTGGGCCCCACGATGGAAGTTCTGTTCAGACGTGCTGTCTCTGTGTGTAGATATAAGCAAGACAAGGCTACCATCTTGTGCTTGATACTATCCGACGACCGAAATCAAACGGACCGGTCCATGGTCATGTTGTCTTACAACAGAAGCGGCGTGCTACCGTTGCAGATTCTTGTGATGCAGGAACTGCAGGGGCTAGAGCTTCAAGGTGTGCTTCCCCCCCCTCTCTTAGGCCCGAACGACAACCCGCCTGTGTGCTCACTTGGTGGTGGTAGCTACTACGACTACTGCTGATGGCTGGGAAATATAAAAATAAATCAAGCTTCAGCCGCCTTAAAGAAAGACGGCGAGGGGGATCGGCATTATGCATAGGTACGGATAGTAGGAAAACGGATTTTACGGAGAAGACTTTGGCACAGCACTAGTGTAAGTAAGTGCATGCCTTGGGGATCGCAAAGGGAGAAGGATTTGCAAATTGGAACTGTCCTCGCACTGCGGAGTCCCGTGTCGAATTTAGCAAAAGCAGCTAGCAGTGTGTTGGTACTGTATTGCCCAGTCCCTGCAGCAGAGGCCGTAAAGTGTTCGGTATTAGGTAGCCCTAGTTATTCCAGCAGAATCATTTCTTCCTTGTCCTATTTCCGGGGTCCTCTGCAGGCCAAGGACGCAAAATGTCCATACATGTATTAATACGGCGGCTGCTCGGTACTGGCAACTGGATATCACGGGCTCGGTGGCCCTGGCTTATTATTAGGTCTGGAGGCGTCGCCTGACAGGCCGACGCTGACCGGGGTCTGGCAGCGCCCTTTGATCTGGTGGCTGAGGTGAGGCCTCTCGTGCTGTGTGTATGTACGGAGTAGCTCTGCAGCAAATTCCCATTTACCGTGGCGTCACCTTGGCTCTATCATGGCTCTCGTGACTGGCCGATGCTCGTGGCTTCACCTCTTGAGTCGTTGGTTATTTTCACTCTGCGTGGCGCATTGTCTGTCTGGCGTCTTACAAGGGCCCGCTGCAGCTTTAAAACGCTTCAATGCTCTGGCCCTTTGCATTATTAGCTGGGTAGTCAAAACACTCTCCGTCTTGGTGCTCGTGGCCGGGATTATTTTGCCGGTGTGACAGCCAACTCCGCTTCAGGGTCCCTCCCAAACCACGTTCTTGTTTCTCACCCGCGCTGTGTTTTCGAATCCGCTTCCAACACCGAGGTAGGAAATCAAAGGTGTTGACGTTCCTTTTCACCAGTCGCTCCCTTTTCTCTTGTGCTTTGTGCTTTGTGCTTGTGCTTTGTGCTTTGTGCAGAAATACACGCAGGGCACATAGGGTTCATGTTATCAGGCAGGTGCAGCAGAAGCAAGCGGCAGCAGGGATTTTTTTTTTTTTGCTCTTTGGTTTTTCTTTTCTGAACTTTGCTCTCGGCTTTTTGGCTTTTGGTTCTGGCTGTGCCTCAGACAAAGGACCGTCCAGCCCGTTCATTCATTCATTCCTTGAACAGCTGGGCCACGCGGGCGGCTAACCAATTGGTTTGTTTTGTTGCGACCCAGCCCCTCGCACACGCAGAGACACATAACAGAGCCCGTTCGAGACAACACGCACGCCTGTCCGAAGCCTCGAGGCGAGACCATCTTCTGCCTTGCCACGCAGCTTGCCGTGAATCGTCGCTGCCTCCTCACATACCTAGTAGGCAGGCCATCCAGCAAGCAAGCAAGCAAGCAGCGGCATCTCCAACCTGAACGAACCGCAACAGGCACCAATCAGCTTACCCTTGCGACTCTGGTTCACCCAGCGGCGTCAAAGGTTGCCAGCTGGTGAACACGTTTGGATCCGATCCCGACTTTGATTGAATTTATCAAGACATTTTGCCGCTCTGATCTGCACTCTTTCCTCCAATCTCCCTTCGTTTGGACCGTCTCATATCAGCATCAGCATCAGCGTCAGCATTACATTTTACAAGAGCACTGCGTTTCATACAAAGGAGCCGCCGAAGACGACGACAAACACGATTAGCACGTCTCACGGATATTGTCTTGCTCCAACCAATACCTAACCATAGGTCTTTTTTGGTTCTTCTACACTTTCTCTTTACACCCGGGCATGTGCTTATCGGAAGATTTCTCTGTCCACCGGCTATAGCATCGACGTATTCCTGTCCCTTTCTTTTGTCCCAGAAACCGACCACGAATCCAATCTTTTTTTTTTTTCGATACGAGCCCCGGCGACCGAGAAAAGCAACGAGTAATCAAGAATAATGGCATACGAGGGTGGATACGGGGGCCAACAGCGTCCGTATGCTGGTTCGGCGGCGCAGGCTCCGATGGCGAGAGGCCACGGAGGGCCTAATGAGTATCAGGACGACGGCTATGGCAACGGCAGCGGCGGCGGAGGAGGGTACGGGCCAGAGTACGGAAACCAGCATCAAGATGCCGGCTATGGTCAAAGTCGGCCCGGCCCGGCGAGAGGCGGGCGGCCTCCGCATGATGCCGGCCGAGGAGGCCCTCATGCGATGCGAGCAGAGGGGCAGCGAGGGGCCAATTACCCTCCGAGAGGCGGCATGGGTCCTGGGAATAGGGGCAGGCCGAACATGGCTCGAGGAGGTGGACCGCCGGGTCCATCTGCAGGTCCAGGTAAGCCTTTCCCAATCCTACCATTACAATCGAAGCCGAACCCGGCGAAGCCAGGCTTGATCAGCAACGAGTTCCGCAACACCCGGCTTCTTGACAGACGTACCTATCTATATACGAGTACATTGAACCCAGCTCTAACGTGATCTCCTCGTGTTTTCCTCCAGGCGGCCGCCAACCGATGAACAACGCTCACGCTCACTCCCAAGGCTCGGGGTATGCCGATGGCAACTACCAGCTCGCAGACCAGATGTCGCAGATGGACTTGAACGGACAAGGCCCCAGAAGCCCGCCTGGTGGTCGACCACCGCCGACTCGAAACGGCTCTCAGAACTACGGAGACTCGAGACAAGGACAGCCCCGACGAGGACCTGGCGGCTACGGTGACTACGGAGACGGCGGCGGATACGGAGGTCAACAGCCTCCCAACCAATACGGCGCTCAGCGAAGCATGACGATGCCTAACAACGGTGCTGCTGGCGGGCGTGGAATGCCGCAGAGACCGGCCACGACAACGGGAAACCGCCCTCCCCCTCAGAGAACCTATCCCCAGGATAACCAAGGGCCACCGCAACACCAGTATAACAATGGTGGCTATGGCCCTGGTCCCGGTATGAACGGTGACGATGGATACGGCGGTGCGTACAACAACAGCGCCATCGACGACGTTTACGACTCTTACTATGACGAGCCGAGAGGAAGCATGTCGAGCCACAACTCACAAACACAAGCACAAGCACATGCACAAGCACATGCAAATGCACATGGGCGTCAGGAGAGCCGTTCAAGCATGCCCGACTTTGACGCCATCCCCGTGCACAGCAAACGAGACTCGTTTGAGCAATCGATGCGGCCGTCCGAGCAGGCGCATCAGGGAAACCACCAGCCCAAGCTGAACCACGCTCGATCCATGGTAGAGATGCGCGGGTCGGGGTCTGGTGCCTTTGAGATGACAAAGGACATCCCCCAGGTCCCGCCGATTCCTCAGTCACACGCGTACCAGCATGGGTACGACCAAGGGTACGACCAAGGGCACGATCAGGGACACGACCAAGGATACAACGGGCCCGGAGGATACTCGCA